TAGGAAACTAGACTAATTGTCATATGCCCTACTCGACGAATAATTTATAATGCAATCATACGCTGACCAGGAGATATATACATTATCACGACTATGGAGAGATACGGGCTATCTCTCTCAGATCATGACAAATGGACAATCAGTAAACAAAAAGATTTAAAAGAACACTGTTTGATTGGGATAATCAAACAGTAATCTTTTCCCAGGTTCGCTTCGGTTTCAACACAAATACTGATCCACAATTCAAGGATGAACGATAAAGCATAATAAATTTTGGATTTTTTAATATGTACATATACACAAGATATTATAATAAAAGAAAAATATAAGCATGAGTAAAGCATCCGACGACCAGAATCTCAAGACATATGTTGAGATACCAAAATATGCCCAAATTCAAGTGGATTCGACTGAACCCGAATGGATAAAAAAATAAGTATGAATAACTACGAATGCAGAAATCGACGCATAACCAAAAAAAAAAAAAAAAAAAAAGGAGATGGGATAGGATTTACATATTACTATTTTGACATGTGGAAAGGTGTTTGCGAGAACATAAAATTTATGGATGCATGTGTATCTTTCTAACACGGGTCCAAAATATATAGTTACTGTTAATCAACGTGAAGTTGTTCCCCTTGTACCTTCCCCATGAGTGAGGTACGATTGAGGCGGAAACACAGGGTTAGGGACAGTTGGTTACCACCACGTGGTGTTGGAAGGTCGCTAAATAAATTCTCTCTCTCCACACACAAGTCTTGTTGGAGTCAGTTATTTAATTCACATTGGTAGCAGAGCATTTAGATCGTAAAAAAATGGCTTCAAAGTTTATTTCCCCACCTCCCTTAAACACGGACAAGTACAATACTTGGAAAAAAGAAAAGCAAGTGTGGGAACTTGCCACCAGCTTAGAGATACATAGACGCACCCCAGTGGTACTTCTATCTTTGGAAGGAAAGGCCAGGGAAGCTGTACTAGAATTGGACATTGCCACCCTAAATGCCGATGGTGACATGGAAAAGTTATACCAAAAACTGGACACACTTTTCTTGGAAGACGCAAACCAGGCAGCTTTTACAGCGTATGAATCCTTTGAGCAATACACACGACAGAGCACTGATTCAATTGATGATTTTCTTATCTGCTTTGATCGTAACGTTCAATATTGCGACGCTTCATCACCCACCACTCCTCCAGTCATGGTGAAAAATGAAATGGATGTTGCTTTCAGCATGGATAATCAGGAGGAGCAATCTAGTGGGACATTTTACAATCGTTCAAATAGAACTACTACTCGCTTTTTCTGGTCGGCGAGGTAATGGCAGGAGGGTCGTAACAGAAATTCAACACGCTCCACTGATAAAAATCTAAACCCACTAGGACCTGAAGGAAATGCCACTGTTTCACATGTGGATGCAAATTCCACAGGGCTCGCGAATGTCCATACACAGAAGATACATCGCATAAAAAGGAAGACAATGAAAACATACTCGTCTCCAACCTCGTGCTGATGAGTCAGCAAAAAGGGGAAGATGGCGCTAACACGTTTTTGGGTGAAACACTAGGCTCGGCTGTCTTGGATTCTGGTGCCTCTGGGACTGTTTGTGGAAAGAAATGGTACGAGTGTTTTCTTGAAACCATACCAGAAAAACAAAAAAAAATATATAAAAATTCGAGACGGAGTGAGAACATATAAGTTTGGTGATGGAAACAAACTCAAATCCATCTACACAGTCACTCTACCGTGTGTCATTGCCGATGTTGAAGTTAGTATCGTAACTGATGTTGTGGACTCTGACATACCATTTCTGTTAAGTAAAAATTCCATGAAAAGAGCCAGGACATGCCTCAATTTTGAGAATGACACTGTTACCATGCCGGGGAGAAAAGTCCCAATGCAGTGTACTTCATCTGGTCACTACCACATCCCTATTAGCAGACCTCTACCAGACCGAGGTAAGTTCAAGCAAATTTTATTTATTAAAGAAATTGCTAGTAAAAATTGACTAGAGAAAATTAAAATTGCCACAAAGTTGCAGAGACAATTCAGTCACCCCAGCAGCAAAAAGCTATGTGATTTAGTGAGAAATGCTGGAATGAGAGATTCTGAATTTATTAAAATTTTACAAGAACTTCCCAATTCATGTGAAATTTGCATGAGGTACAAAAGGACTGAACCTAGACCCATTGTTGGATTCTCATTAGGAACCTATTTCAATGAGAGCATTGCCATGGACATCAAAGAAATTAACGGCAACAAGGTACTGCACCTAATTGACCATGGTACAAGATACAGTGTTGGAGTCAAGATTCCTAGTAAGGAAAGTTCCGACATCATTAATGCCATCTTCAAGCACTGGGTTGCATATTTTGGAACCCCGGGATTTATCCTCACTGACAATGGCAGAGAATTTAATAACCAGTCATTTAGAGATATGGCGCAAAATTTAAACATTGTGGTACGTACCACTGCTTCTGAAAGTCCTTGGAGCAATGGGTTAAATGAAAGACACAATGGGATATTGGGAGAAATGGTAAAGAAAACCATAGAAGATACCAACTGTAGTTTTGAGGTAGCACTTGCATGGGCCATAAGTGCCAAAAACACACTTCAGTGTTCACGGATACAGTCCCAATCAACTTGTTTTTGGCAAAAATCCCAACCTACCTGCCTTTCTAAATGATAAACTTCCTGCATTAGAAGGTGTTTCCACCAGTGAAGTTGTTGCAGATAACCTAAATGCTATGCATGCTGCCAGGAAACAATTCATAGCATGTGAGTCCTCGGAGAAACTAATACGTGCACTTCGTCACCAAGTTAGAATAGGTATAGCACAAGCCTACAAAAATGGTGATGCCGTCCTTTATAAAAGAAACCTGTGTGATAGATGGCTTGGTCCAGGAACTGTTATAGGGTGGGAACATAAGCAGGTGCTTGTCAAACATGGTGGTACATATGTAAGGGTACATCCATCTCGCTTAACACCCTACCCTGAGACATATCGAAGCTCTTCCAAGGACAGCATCAAGGAACCTAGTGCCTCACAGAATAGGCTCGAAGAATCTCCAGAAGTACCAATTTCTGAAGAGTTTGATATGAATGAAGATTTGGGAACCACAAACAACAATGTCGAGCAACATCAGACTGTAGAAGCAAGAGATAGACCACATAAGCAGGACTTTACTCCAAAGAAAATTGAGCTTCCTAAACCAGGACAAACTATTAAATGCAAGCTTGCCAATGACACAGATCCAGAATGGAAAAAATTAAATGTCATAAGTAGGGCAGGCAAAGCAACAGGCAAAAACAAGCATTTGATGAATGTGGTTATGGAACAGGGTGAACCTTTTTGGCTGGACTTTGAACATGGGGTATCAGAGTGGCAAACAAGTGAGGTTGAGGAAACTGAACTTGAACACACTTCTTGTGACGAGGAAAATATAATGATTTCCTCCTCTAATGATGACCTGGAACTGGAAGAGGCAAGAAAGAAAGAGCTCAAAAGCTGGGTTGAAAATAAAGTGTATGCCCAAGTACCTGACCAAGGTCAACCAAAAATTTCCACAAGATGGATTTACACAAATAAAAATTCCAATGGCAAGCAAACCTATAAAGCCAGACTTGTGGCAAGAGGCTTCCAGGATAGAGACACTAACAACATAAGGAATGATTCTCCCACATGCTCTAAAGGTGGTTTACGCATAGCACTGGCAATAATGGCAGCTAACCAGTGGATGTGTAAATCAATGGACATAAAGACCGCATTCCTGCAGAGCAAGCAGTTGGATCGACTGGTTTATCTGGATCCTCCTAAAGAAGCCAATGTACCTCAGGGCCATATCTGGAAACTCTCAAAATGTGTGTATGGCTTGACTGATGCTTCCAGGTCCTGGTACTTAACACTCAAGGAAGAATTAATGAAGTCAGGAGCAATAGCTTCAAAATATGATCAAGCAATATTTACATGGCATTTTGGAAACAAACTGCAAGGTATAATTGCTGCTCATGTCGATGATTTTTGCTTTGCAGGGTCAGAGATCTTTCAAAGCAGAGTTCCAATACATAGGATTAGATATAAAAAAGAATAATGAGAATATCAAACTTGGACAAAACGAGTATGTAAAGAAATTAAAATATATTCCGATAGAAGCAGGCAGGAACCTTAAAGACAATTTCCACAACAGAAATTACTGAAATCAGTTATTGGTCAACTTAACTGGCTGGCCACTCAAACCAGACCTGATCTAAGTTATGATGTTAGTGCATTAAGCTCCATTCTAAAACAACAAAATGTAGAATGTATAAAACAAGCCAATAGAGTAGTTAAGAAAGCAAAAATCATAGATAGACATCCCTCACTTAGGAAACCTTAAGCATTTAAAAATTGTTGCATATAGTGATGCTTCTTTTGCTAATTTGACAGATGGAGGGTCACAAGGAGGCTATATACTCTTTTTGGTAGGAAATAATAAATACATGCCCATTGCATGGCAATCCAAACGCATTAGAAGGGTGGTCAAAAGTACACTGGCTGCTGAAACTCTAGCTATGGTTGATATGTCAGAAGCCTGCCTGTTTTACAGAAAACTATTATTGGAATTACTGCAACTAAAAGATGAAACTGAGAACATTAAGATCATATGCAAAACTGACAATTCCTGTCTCTATGACTCAGTACATTCATCAACACAGATTTTGGGTAAGAGACTTCACATTGAGATGGCCATTTTGAGAGAAATGTTGGACAGAAAAGAAATTGCAGAGTTCTCTTGGATACCAACTGATGAAAAAGTTGCAGACTCCTTGACAAAGAAAGGAGTATCATCATTTAAAATCCTTGGCTTTATATCAGAGCCCAAGGAATTATCTGTTTAATAAATTCAAAATTTTTTTAATCTCTTTTTCAGATGTTCATCTGAAAGAAGAAAGAAAAGAAAAAAGGGGAAGAATTATTATCAACGTGAAGTTGTTCCCCTTGTACCTTCTCCATGAGTGAGGTATGATTGTTAGGGACAGTTGGTTACCACCACGTGGTGTTGGAAGGTCGCTAAATAAATTCTCTCTCTCCACACACAAGTCTTGTTGGAGTCAGTTATTTAATTCACAGTTACTTATCTTTATATTCAGTTCTCTCTCTTACTCATTGTCCTTTCTTTTCTCTCTCACGTTTCCTCTTTTCTTTCTCTCTTTTTCTTTACACAAATTCAATTTCACACACGGCTGCAACAGAGATATATACTTTCTTCCTCCTCTCTGGTCTTCTCTTTTCTTTCTTCTTCTTTACACAGTTCAGCTTCAAACATGGTCCGGCTGCAACAGAGATATATACTTTCTCCTTCTCTCTGGTTTTCTCTTTTCTTTCTTCAAACACAGGCTGTATTCTCAGTGTACAAATTTCCTTGCGTCTTCTGTGATAAATAACTTGATTTATTTTCTTAAATTTGGAGTTAACGAACAGAAATATACATCCTTATATTTCTTATCCGGAGTTGCTTATGATGAATTGGACAAGTTCCATCATTACCAATATGAGTCTCATCTTTCTGTTCATAAATTATCAGCGCTTCGATTTCGTGCCTTGCTCTTTCAAAGACAAGACAGCAACTGACTTCCAAGAAATTTTCTAATTCCCATGTGTCCTGCATTTTGGTGCGAATTCCAGTTCCTGCTGCTTCATGACCTTACGTCAGTCCCCTGTCTAGATTCTGTCTAGACGTCTGTTGCTACGGATAACTGGGTCAGTCAACCCCTTGACTTGCTTTCCCAAAATGTCTCGAAACTCCCACATGACCTCTTCTATTGTCAAGTGGAGATTAACCTTAATATATGTGTGCATGCATGTTTGGGCTATCTGCATTTGTAACACCAATGCATAATAATAATTCTAAATTTAAAACATTCAGACAAATTAATGAATTTATCACTTGAACATTCAGGAATTTTCACTTGCCAATCACTATATAATTAAAAAATTAACAAATTAAAATATGGTTATGAGTAAATTCTGAATGTTTGAACAAAAACTTTTAGTAATATTAGCTGTTTCCTTATAAAGAAACATATAGCATTCACTAACAGAGCAGCCAATACTACTTTCAGTTGAAATGTATAAAATCTTTCTATTAAAACAATTTTCAAGAAAAAAAAAAAAAACTTTCTCAAATACAACTGTTATTGCTGCTTCCAATATTGATGGGGGCTTCCTTTCTAAACTTTTGTTTAAAGCTGTGTGATGTATCATCTTATATCAATATTTTCTCTTTGATTTTCATGTGCTATTTTAGCTGTTGGTTTTGTCGAAAGTTTTCAAATGACGTGATTTCTGCTACTTGGCACAGTTGTCTGTGACTCTGTAGCACCAGTTCATGAAGTTGAAAAAATGATGGTGTTTCCTAAGATCTACAGGGTTTGAAGTCATTTTTAACCATTGAGTTTAGACATTTTTAAACGAGTTTAACACCATCCATTCTTAGGATAATGTTTTGGTTTCATAGCATCTTGTGGTGTCGAGCAAAACAACCCTAGTTCAGCCTATTCCATGTTCAATTTCTTTATCTCCTTTACTGAAGTTGTTATAACTGATTCATACACTGAGGTATTTGAAGTATTAAGTAGTTACTAATTCCCCATCTTGAATTTTTATGATGGTTTCAGGTTATGCACCACCACCGTTTTCATTCCAATTCCAGATCATAGTTTACACATTTGGAAAGGTTTATTTTGAGTCCCATTTCTTGGAATACATTATGGATAAAACTTTCAATGAGGATTATAAATGCCATTAATTTAAAAGTTTCATTATATTAAAATATCAATTTTTAAAAAAGGAAAATTAATCTATTTTTTTTTTTAACTAATGCAAGCAGGACTGTTAGTGTTATGATTTTTTTATTTGCTGGCAACTGAAGTTGTAGATTAACTGTACTTGTTTTATAGTTTCAATTTCTTTTTACACCATTTAACAAGAGATAAAAATATTTTTTTAAAAATTGTCTTCCCTGTTGCCATGCTAGTGAATAGTTTATGATATAGTATAACAAAACAGACATGCCATTTAGATGGAAAAATTTAAGAAATGATTCATATAAAAAAAAAGGTGAGGGACATCAGAGTAGAGGAAGGCATGAACTTGAGGCTCTAAGGTCACATTTACATGCAACCAGATACCACAAGCAAATATTAAAGCAATGTAATTAGATAATAGATGGAAAATATAATTAAGAAATGGAATGGATAGAGCAATGAAAAATTCAAGGAATGAAGTCAATTATGTTAAAAAATAGGTTACAGAAATCTTTCTAATTGAAACAACTCGCTTTCCACAGATTTTTTTTTCTTCCATTTGATTCTAATAGATTTGAGACAAATATAAAACTATTTAGTTAATAAAATGTATAAATTAAAAGAACAAAAACAAAACAAAAGCATTGCAGATTTCAAAAGTGCCAGATTAACCAAAGGAAGTTTAGAACAGTAATTTCTATACTTTTTTCTGATTAATACCCTACTTGGTTTCCAGGCTACATTACTAGTACCCTCAACTACCATATACAATGAGCATGTATTTCCTTCTTACTGTAAATTTAAAACAATACCTAATCTAATATTTGAATGTCACCATACCTGTTAGGAGCCCTTTAATGTTGCAAACAAATCCTATAAAAGAGAATAATATTTTAGTAGGCAACACCTGTGATGTATTAGTAAAAAGTTAATTAATTCCCTCATAACTAGCAGTTAGTTCTGCCATGGGTTGCTACAGATAAACATATAGGTACCTCCATGAAATCACTATAAAAAGAGAATAGCTTGATGAAAAAGATGCCAACCTTGCAGAAAACAAAATTTTATCGTCTAAATGCTTATGTTATTATTAAGAGGAAAGACCAAAGTTTTTTTTTAATTACTTTTAAAAATTTTTCCTTCTTTTTAGAACATTCAAAATTTTGATTAAAAAAACCTTGTTTCTCTTTGTATTGCTGAAACTAGTAAAATAACAGACAATATTTAGCACGTTTTTTGGGTATGACAAACATTAATTTGGAAAATCTTGCAAAAATAAAAATGATTGTCGGATGTTAATGAAACTTTCAGGAACTATTCACAGATCAAAATTATTATAAATGTTTTTTTTTTATTAAAGTCATGGCAGAAATATTTTTTTTAATATTTATTATCACCCCCATAACTAATTTTATGAAAACGCTAGAAATTCGATTGCATTGGGTTTAGTGATTACAATAGTTAAAAGCACAAAGCTTTGAGGAATGCAAATCATGTTTTTTTGTTTTTAATTGGACACCCCTACCTGAAAATCAGCTCTTAATTGTAACATACAAAACTTAATAAAACAAAGATATTATTTAATTTCAAATGCTTTTATTAGCTTTTAGTTGTTTTTATGAATATGGACAATATTTTCTGAAAGCAAAATTGTTTTTGATGATAAATGAATTTTTAATACAATTATTTGTTATTTCTTAATTATAATAGATTTTTACATTTAAGTTGTTGAAATATTATAAAATTAGTTAAAAGCCATTTCGGGTTTCCTAAGTCTCCTTATGAGATAGATCTTCTTTTAGCATGTTGTAAATTGTATCATTTCAACTAATCAGAAGATCCGCAGTAATTAAGAAATGTAATTTTGTGTTTATAATCGAGCTGTAATTATAAAGTACGGATGACCAACCAGAATACAATTAAGTTTTGTTATTTGAGTTAAGCATTGTTCTCCGCTGTTAAGGCCTTTACTTTTGTGAAAGATGTGTAGAGAAGTTAATTTGATTTTTTAATTTCAACTGAGAAGGGTATCTACAAGTATCAGTATCATCTTATGAAATTTATATGATCTTATTTTTATATTAATCTCAGTTATGACATTTTTCCATAAATGAAATATCAAAATTAATAATAAAATGAATGGAAATACAAATAACACAGTAAAATGTAATAAATGTACATAAAATTATAGTATTTTATGTACACTTCTGATAAAATTTCATAAGAAAGGTACCTATAAATTAATTAGATACCTTTCTTATGAAATATGAAATTTAATGTCACTCTTAAAAGTCTTATTTTAATTTCTTTATAATATATTTTCCATAAAGCATCATAAACGTAAAGGTGAAAGCTAAGTACAAAAAAAATTAGAGCGCTGAAAGTTTTCCTTAAAAATAACGAGGTAAATAATTTGTTCACTTAAATGTAAATTATTTCGCTTTTCTCCTTCCGTAGAACAAATTATCTTCATGGAATCCGTCAATATGTCATTCATCACCTGACAAGTGACGCGAAAGTTTATGACCCGCTTTGCTTTATTTTCAAATTACCTCTTTTTGGCGCAGAAGCTAAGTTAAGCTTGGTTCAAGATATTTTAAATAAACATTATAATTTCTGATTTTCTTAAAATAAGTTTTGAAAAAATGATAATTGATATTTAAAAAAATTTCAAAGTTAGATTTCCAGTTTTTTTATAAATTGGAAAAAGAAAAAAAAAAAAAAAAAAAAAAAAGAAAATTTTTAACGATTAAAAAATGTAAAAAAATACTTTGATCTTTCCTCTTAATAACATAAACATTTAGACGATAAAATTTTGTTTTTGTCAAGTTTGGTGTCTTTTTCATCATGCTATGTTCTTTTTTTTTTAGCGATCTTGTGGAGGTACCTATGTAATGCATATTGACTTGTCATTTACTTTTTACTCAGAGTAAATATTTATGTAGATGAAACAAGATAGTACAAGTACACATCTAAAAATCTAGATGACCAGATGTTAGCAGCTGATGATCTGGCTCAATGGTGGAAGGACTGGATGCATAGGAGAGAAAGTCTGATCTCATGGAATCCTGAAACTTTCTATGACCCCAGAATTGAGAGGGATTTCTGGTGCACAATATATGCGCATAAAATGAACATACTATGAAATGAAAGTAGTTTCATTTGGTTTAGTTCAAATTTTCCTTGTTTTTTTAATTAAAAAAAAAAAAAAAAAATCAAAGAAAACCATGGTTAAAATAACTGATTATTTGGGATCACAAGTTGAACTGTTATAAACATCTTTCCACTTGGATGAACAGGCTTGAATTCTCTTAACTCATATGCTCTAAATTCAGGAGGAATTTCACCCTGTCTTTTATGAGATATTCTCAGGAGTGGTGATAAAGAAAATCAAAAGCAACAGGCAGGTAAGTGTTTTTGATGTTTTCAAAAGTTTTGAGACTCCTGATTCAAATAGTGGTTTAAAAAAACATGAAGCTAGTTATGATAAATCCAAAATATTTGGCTTGTGAATACTACCAAAAGTAGTCAGACCTAAATTATAAAAGGAATATTCTATGAACACTGATGCAAAATTTTTGGGAATAATTCCATTACATTCTGTTAGCCATATTAATCAGTTCACCACACCAAAATTTGAATGATAGCCAGTATCTGCACTGGTTTTCAGCAACATTTTCAAGAGCCTAGCATTTTGGAATAGATATTGTGTAACTATTTAACCAACTTTCCTGGAGGTATATGAAGAGGTTAGTTGCAAAGGTAAAAATTAAAGACAAAATCTTAGAGGCATTAAAGTTAATTGACAGCCTTAAACCACTGGGT